CCATTAAGAACAAAGTGTGAAATTTGTGCAGGTGCATGTAAGTGATGTAACTTTCTTTTCCATATTCTGAAACACTGAATTAAACTTTCTGAGAGTTGTATTTTACCTTTCTTGCTGGCAACTTTGGATTTTGGAAGAGCCAAGGATCCAGCTTTTGTGGTCATACTATTAATTTCTTGTTTGTTTCTTTAAAGATACACTCTGCTTCTGCTCTAGAAAACTTTGGCTCTCAATCTGAAGGTTTCAGTGCATACCCCCCAGCAGCAGGAACATCTGGAACACCTTTTTCAGTGCAGACAAATCTCCCGCAGACTGGATGGCAATAATGAACATCAATTTCAGCTATCAAGAAGAATGCTCTAAAAGTTTACGATGCTTCCTTTGGAAAATACATTTTCAGTACATATAATTCAAAAGAGATTCCAAATGCAGTAACTGTTGCTGAAATGATATCAAAACTAGATTTTTTTTTTACTTTATATCAATGACCCTAGGAAGTTTCACTCCATTTTTCATAGTACACTCTGGGATACTTTAATCCAGGTAGGGTTTTTAAGAGCCAGAATAACTGATCACTGAAAAAAAAAACATTTTTGCTGTTATGTTGGTGTTTTACAGATTGTTAAAAAATCATGGCAATGCATGAAGTATAGGTACTGATTTAAAAGATGTAGATCAAACTTTCTACCTATCCCCCCTCCCCCCCCCCGCAACTCTTTTTAGCAATTTAATCTTATGCATCTGCCTACTTTACTTAGGCTGAGCAGATCTGCACTCCTTTCTGCTTTGTCCTATAGAATCAATTCTATATTTTGTTTTTCATTCTTTTTAAAAAATTGATTATTCATTGCTATTTGCTCTGATGCAAGTAGCCCTCAACTAAGAATCATAATAGGGACTGGAAAATTCATTATTACATGGTAATAATGCAGTCATGTGATGCATCCAATTTACAACCTTTTTCATTAAATCGTTAAACAAATCTCCCATCAGTCATTGAAACATCACTTCACTGTGACTTGCAGTCTCCTGCAGGTTTCACCATTTGACTTTGCAAGGAAGGTTGCAAATGGTGAGCACGTGACTGCAGGACACTGCAGCTGTTACAAAGGCAAGCCAGCTGCGAAACATCCAGATTGCAATCACATGACTGCAGAGACTGGTTGTAAGTTATCTTTTCACCGTCATTGTAGTTTCAAAGAGTTGCTAAACAAATGGTTGTAAGTTGAGGACTACCTGTACTTGTTATTGAAAGTTCTACTACTTAACAATTTATCTCAGGCCTTTATTTCATCTTTTCCAAGCTGGTACCTTCAGGATGTCTTGGCATTTCAATTTCAGGATAGCTGCATTTTTGAAGTGATAATTCCAACACACCTGGAGGGTATTAAGTAGGGAAAGCTGTTTTTACTTATATTTGAAATCTACCTCCCACCAATAATTTGTTCAGTCTTCTAGGATACCAGAAGTCTGCTGTAGATATGTATTTTTTAATGTGTAACTTCAGATTAAATGTATAGTTTCCTTCAATCAGTAGGAAATACATTTTGTAGATTATACTTTATGTTCCATAATAAACAAATGTTTGTATCTAATTCATGAACAAGGCACTGGTAATAACACTACTAATGGGTCTAATGTAGCCCATCAAATGCAATCAAATATATTGAAGAGTTTTGGATTTGTGAATCAAGTATTCACTTTATTTATGAGAACAAAACAAATGCACATAATGTCAGATTTGAATGAACTTTGTGGTTCCATTCTGAAAATTTTAAATTTTTAAATAGGTAGAGCTAGATTTTTACACACACTCTTCTAGTAACACTTGTGGGGAAGCCAAAATAATTATATACATTTTTTACATTGGCTTTTTGAAATTAAGTCCTATTCTAATTATGAATTGTGCATTATAACATCGTTGCTATTTTAATAAAGACTTCTGTACTATTTCCTATAACTTCTGGGAAAGTTATGGCTCTTCAGCTGTTCTACAGGTAGTCCTTGACTTATGACTATCATTGAGCTCAAAATTTATGCTGCTGAGATATTTGTTAAGTGAATTTTGCCCCATTTTATGACCTTTCTTGCCACAGTTGTTAAATGAATCACTATAGTTGTTAATTTAGTAACACAGTTGTTAAATGAATCTGCTTCCCCATTTCCTGGTTGTCAGAAGGTCCAAAAGGTCATCACATGATTCTAGGACACTGCGATGTTCATAAGTACGAGTCGGTTGCCAAGCATTTGAATTTTGATCATGTGTCCCTGGGGATGCTGCAATGGTCCTAAGTTTGAAAAATAGTCATAAGTCTTTTTTTTTCAGTGCTGTTATAACTTTGAACGGTCATTAAATGAACTGTTGCAAGTCAAGGACTACCTGCATTGTAGCTCTTTTAACATCCTTTAATGTTGGCTATGCTTTTAAAGGCTGCTGGGAGTTAAAATTCATCAACAGCTAAAAGACAAAAGCTTCTTCATCAGCCTTGATTTAACATCTGTAGTGATGAATATAACCCCTGCCTCATATTATCTCTTAAAATAATTTTGATCATATTTTAGATTTATGGTAGATATACTTGATGTTAAAATTTTAATGTGAACTTAATGCACTTTGTTGCAGTGCATAGCTTAATGCTTTTTCTAAAGATGACAGTCTACTGAATAGTAATACTAATGTAGAAATTTTCCATAGGTAAGCAGGTATGGAGAATGCTAATATGTATATAGCTGTATTTTTATAATTTTTTAAAATAAAATGAATAGCAGTGATGTTTCTAAAATAGACTGAATAAACAGTTCCTTACAAACTTGCCTTGAGTAGTTTTTATATAACTAAAGTAATTAAACTATCAAGTAATTAATATAAAAAGTATAATACAAGATCAGTATCCAGTTTAGTCATTCTACAGCAAAACAGTCATTGCTGTTAAATCAAATTGCCTCTTATCCCTGCTACTACCCATACTAGTGTACATGTGCACATATCCAAGCTACTCACCTCATTCCTTTTTAGAATAACCAATGTTATTCAGAACACAAAAAGAATAATAAAGAATGAAAGGTATTGGATACAAAAGGGAATTATAACTAAAATTAGCTTACACCAATATCACTGCAACCATCTTTGCTTCATACACTGCTTCTTTCTAAACTTTTCACCTCTTTCATTTTCTCATCAACGCCATCAAACACAATTTTCCCAGCCTTTTCTTTCCTCTCAGCCTGTTCACACTTCCTTCCTAGGTTGGTTTTCCTATGCAGCTCTCATTCTTTCAGTGTGAACAAGTGTTCTCAATGAATCAGAATTGGAAGAGACTTTGGAGGTTTTCTAGTCCAACCCCCTGATCAAGCAGGAAACCATTTCAGACAAATGGCTGTCCAGTCTCTTTTTAAAAACCTCCAGTGATATTTCTTTCGTACCAGTATTCATAGAAGCATTCTACATATAGGTTGGAAAGTGTCCCCCCAAGGTGCTACAGGCATTGCTGTGGGATGTGGAGTTGGAAGATCCTAGGTTTGGTGTCATGTTTCACCCCAAAACAGCAAGTTGAAAGTTTCTGCTTTTCACAATCTGGCTTACTAACTGGCAGCCACTGTTTGCTTTGCAAGATTCCTTTGGCATAACTGTCAGTTACACATCTTGAGATGGGGGAGAAGCATTAAAATGAACAGCAGAGCTGCCTTGTGGCGAGATGGGAAACAAATTCAATAAATAAAAGCTCTTGTAGTATTTTACTTTAGTGTTGCTTCTGAAAAAGGTAATGTTTCATTTAGCATTTTCTTCATAAAAGCCTATATATGGAACTAGGCTGTGCATATATGGATTCAAGCCATTTGTGAGGACTGACAGTCTCTTCAAATCCTGGTTCTCAACAGCGGAATCATCATGGTACCAGAGGTGGTATTCAGCAGGTTCTGACCAGTTCTGGAGAACCAGTAGTGGAAATTTTGATTAGTTCAGAGAACTGGCAAATACCACCTCTGACTGGCCCCTTCCCTATCTATTCTCTGCCTCCCGAGTCCAGCTGATAGGTTGGGCCTTCTTTTGTTGCCCTGCACAGGAGAATAGAGCTGGAAAGCAGGTTAGTGGGGTGGGGAGGGAATGGGATTTTGCAGCAATCTTCCCTCAGGAGTGGGGTGGGAATGGAGATTTTGCAGTATCCTTCCCCGGCCCCACCCAAGCCAAGCCATGCCCACAGAACCGGTAGTAAAAAAAAATTGAATCCCACCACTGAATGATGCAGTTGTCACATCATGGGACTTTTCCTTGCAATCCATGTTAGAATGTGCCTCTCTCTACCTCGGAAACTACTGTAAAAGTCCCTGTATAAAAATACCCCTGAAACGAACAAATGTCAATGTACAAAGTAGTGCTCAACTTAAAACAGTTCATTTAGTGACCGTTCAAAGTTACAACAGCACTGAAAAAAGTGTTTTATGACCGTTTTTCACACTTATGACCATTGCAGTATTCCCATGGTTATGTGAGGAAAATTCAGACACTTGGCACCTGACTCATATTTATGACCGTTGCAGCGTCCTGGGGTCATGTGATCCCCTTTTGCCACCTTCCGACAAGCAAAATCAACAGGGGAAGCCAGATTCACTTAACAACCATGTGACTAACTTAACAACTGCAGTGATTCACTCCACGAATGTGGCAAGAAAGGTCATAAAATGGGACAAAAACTCAACAAAAGTCTCGCTTAGCAACAGAAATGCTGGGCTCCCTTGTGGTCGTAAGTCGAGGACTACCTGCAATCGGTTTACACAAGCTCTCTTGAGGAAATTCCACTCGTTAGAGCTAGAACTGCAGACAGAAAAGCGTCCAAACACAAAATAAAACGCGGCGCCGAGTTATTCGGTTCCGAAAAGGGAGAAGCTTCAAGAAAATCAAACCACCCGCTCCCCGCTCACATTCAGCCCCTGGCTGGAGCGAAAAAACGCGCGCGTGCGCACTTGGTTGGATTCGATTCGCCAGCCGCAAACGTGGCGCCGCCAGGAGCGTCGGGATCTCTGCGCGTGAGCGTTGCCAGTGCTGGGCGAGGCCGCGGCGCGCTTTGAGCGGCGCGATGGAGTCTACAGTGGAAGAGTTGATGCCCCGCCTCTTACCTGTAGAGGATTGCGAGCTCGCGGAAGACTTCGACCCCACGGTACCCCCCCGAACTCCCCAAGAGTATTTAAAGCGGGTCCAGTAAGTTTATTGGTCGGTGGTGGCGTTCGCCGTTGGATGGGAAGGCGGTTTGGGGATGGGACTGCGCTTGGTTGAGTGGGCGAAGTGGGATGGGGTCAACCCGGCGCTAACATGTATATGAAATGGGCGCTATATTTATATTTACTCCTATGCGGGAGTAAAGCGCGGGAGTAAAGCGCTTTTTCTGTAATGGTGAACGGTTCTGGTAGGACCTGACAAGGTACTTCAGAGATTCGCCTGAGTATAGTGTTGCTACTGGTAATGCAATATGGCGGTTTGCTTTGGTGGTGCTGGGATTTACTGCATGAATATAGGATAATACTGAAATGCGGCTTGGAATCCATTCATATTGGCCTTTTCATTGTGATTTTTCGGGGTTTGCTAATTTGTGTGTGTGTGTGTGTGTGTTTAACTCAGTAATATTGGTTCTCGGCTCTTCTCCAAACAATAAATAAGACATGCAGACCTAGTATAATTAAATGATCTGCAAAGCTTGATTAAATGGAATGAAAAACACTTGAAACATTTTTGCATTGTGCCGTGAATCTAAATCAATTTTAAAACTTAAGTTCATTACGGCAGCATTTCAATCTATATCCTAGTTTTGTTCAAACTGTAATCCATTAGAATAGAGTCTTTGACATGTAACAATCCCATCCACTTTGTCTTATTTTGAAAAACTCAAGACTGATAAGCAGGCAAAGCTGGAATAATTTTTAAGGATTTGCCAGGCTTAATTCTTTAATTCCTAAATTAGGTTTAATTAGAAATCAAAAAACACTTAAAATTGCAAACATTTTTATTTTGTAGGATTGAAGCTGCAAAATGTCCTGATGTTGTTGTGGCCCAGATTGATCCCAAGAAACTGAAAAAGAAGCAGACTCTAAATATTTCAGTAGGTTTTTAAAAAATCATTATTATAAACATTATAAAGTACAAGTATACTTCTCATGGTGATTGGATGTGAACAATATAATACTATTAAAAGATTGCCATAATCCATCTGCATGGTGGCTAGTCCTACAAAATGGAAAAGGCTGTTTTAACATTGAATATGGCATTCTTTTATTATTAGAATTTTTAAACAGATAGAAGATAATTCTATTTTCTATATTTTTTCTGTTTAAGAAAAAAGATTAAAAAGTACAGTAAAAATAAGAAAAAGGAAAATATTTAAAGAAGCAACTTCTTGATCTTTCTTACAGCAGTTACCAGCATACTTAATATCACTCGTCTCCTTAACAAGTTACATCACGTAATTCATGTTTTCCCATATTTGATCTTTTTCAAGCAGAAAATTCAAAAATCATCAAGGCATTTTTATCCATTTTTAATAAAAAAAAGTTAAAATGTTTCCAGTCTTTTAGAAAAATACTTATTGTTTTCTCCATGATCAAACAGATCAATGTTGCCATTTAAGCAAATTCTTTCATCTTTACAGTACAATCCTTCATTGTAGGTAGTCCTGCATTTTTGAAAAAAAAAATGTGTTTGTGTGAATTAATATGACATTCTTAATATTCTCATTGTGTTGCCTGTGTTTTTTTTTTAGCTTTCAGGGTGTCAACCTGCTCCTGAAGGATACTCTCCAACACTGAAATGGCAACAGCAACAAGTGTCTCATTTTTCAACCATACGCCAGGTATACATACATACATGCAAGTATACAAAAGTGATTTTATGTTGAGTGTTTCTTATGTGCTTATTCTGGTCTTTACAGCCATAATTCCCATTTTTAGGAAGCTGGCACTTTACTACTATTGTTGTTTGCTATCAGTGAGATTTTCCAAGGTGTAGAACTCATTGGGTGCCTCTCAGCCAACTATGCCTCACAAACTTGATATTATGGGAAAAGTTAGGTTTTATACTGCATTTACGTATAAATACATATGTAATAAAATAGTACTAAATGCACTAGTACTAATATTCCACTTTAAGGCTTAAATATCAGTTATAAAGTGAATACCAAAATAAAATAACAATTTATTTATAGAGTTTGTAAAAACAAAGGTGACACTGGATAATATACAACAGGGTTCTGCTAAGTGGTCAATATCAATCCCCAAAGGTCGTAGGATTGTTGGTTGTTATGTCGAGTAATCTACAGTTATATTTACAATCCAAGATGCAAACTTAATTCAAATCCAAACCAATGATATAAGAATTATTAAAGTGGCATCTAAGAACATGGGCAGTTTCAAGCAGAGTGGTTTTGTTGCTATTATGGTTTGTTGCATAGTCAGCCAGATGTTCAAACTCAATTTGGCATTTTTGTCTTGCTATCAAGTCCTTCCAAAGGATCTGGGATAGACAGATGTGGATGTTTGATGGTGTTATTGGTCATTGTTGTTTGCAGTAATAGAAAAGTAATATGTATTTTCTTGTAATAAATGCTTAGAAGATCAATGAACAGTTTGAAACTTTATGAAGGGGGTCATTGAGAAGAATGTGGGGGCCCTGGTATGCAGCATTAAAACCAAAGTTAGAATAAAAATCCAAATAATATACACTGCTCAAAAAAATAAAGGGAACAACACAATGTAACTCCAAATCAATCACATTTCTGTGAAATCAAACTGTCCACTTAGGTAGCAACACTGATTGACAATCAATTTCACATGCTGTTGTGCAAATGGAACAGACAACAGGTGGAAAGCATAGGCAGTTAGCAAGACATCCCCAATAAAAGAGTGGTTCTGCAGGTGGTAACCACAGACCACTTCTCAGTTCCTATGCTTTCTGGCTGATGGTTTGGTCACTTTTGAATGCTGGCGGTGCTTTCACTCTAGTGGTAGCATGAGATGAGGTCTACAACCTACACAAGTGGCTCAGGTAGTACAGCTCGTCCAGGAGGGCACATCAATGCGAGCTGTGGCAAGAAGGTTTGCTGTGTCTGTCAGCGTAGCGTCCAGAGCATGGAGGCGCTACCAGGAGACAGGCCAGTACATCAGGAGACGTGGAGGAGGCCGTAGGAAGGCAACAACCCAGCATCAGGACCGCTACCTCCGCCTTTGTGCAAGGAGGGACAGGAGGAGCACTGCCAGAGCCCTGCAAAATGACCCCCAGCGGGCCACAAATGTGCATGTGGCTGCTCAAACAGTCAGAAACAGACTCCATGAGAGTGTTATGAGGGCCCGACGTCCACAGGTGGGGGTTGAGCTTACAGCCAAACACCATGCAGGACATTTGGCATTTGCCAGAGAACACCAAGATTGGCAAATTCGCCACTGGTGCCCTGTGCTCTTCACAGATGAAAGCAGGTTCACACTGAGCACGTGACAGATGTGACAGGGTCTGGAGACACCATGGAGAACTTTCTGCTGCCTGCAACATCCTCCAGCATGACTGGTTTGGCAGTGGGTCAGTAATGGTGTGGGGTGGCATTTCTTTAGGCGGCTGCACAGCCCTCCATGTGCTCGCCAGAGGTAGCCTGCTTCCATTAGGTATCGAGATCCTCAGACCCCTTGTGAGACCATATGCTGGTGTGGTTGGCCCTGGGTTCCTCCTAATGCAAGACAATGCTAGACCTCACGTGGCTGGAGTGTGTCAGCACTTCCTGCAAGACGAAGGCATTGATGCTATGGACTGGCCCACCCGTTTCCCAGAACTGAATCCAATTGAGCAAATCTGAGACATCATGTCTCGCTCCATCCACCAATGCCACGTTGCACCACAGACTGTCCAGGAGTTGGGGGATGCTTTAGTCCAGGTGTGGGAGGAGATCCCTCAGGAGACCATCCGCCACCTCATCAGGAGCATGCCCAGGCGTTGTAGGGAGGTCATACAGGCACGTGGAGGCCACACACACTACTGAGCCTCGTCTTGACTTGTTTTATGGACATTACATCAAACTTGGATCAGCCTGTAGTGTTTTTTTCCACTTTAATTTTGAGTGTAACTCCAAATCCAGACCTCCATGGGTTGCTAAATTTGATTTCCATTGATAATTTTTGTGTGATTTTGTTGTCAGCACATTCAACTGTGTAATGAACAAAGTATTTAATAAGAATATTTCATTCATTCAGATCTAGGATGTCTTATTTTTGTGTTCCCTTTATTTTTTTGAGCAGTGTATGTCCAATGTTGTAAACAAACTCAAACAATAAACAAACTCAATTTACAATAAAAACAACATCAGCCAATAGAACTCACTTAGTCTACTGGCCCAAATGCCAGGGGAAACAGCCAGGTCTTTAGTGCTAGATGAAAATTTAAAAGGATTGGGACCATCTAGATGTCAAGAGGGATTGCCTTTCTACAGGGTAGACACTTAAACAAAAAGGTTAGAATTTCTGGGTCCAACAAAATCACTTATTTAATAAAGGGAATTTGAAGCATGCTATCCCTGCTAAATCCTTTTTAATAATAGGATTGTGATCTGATTTAAATTTAATTGATTGTATAAATGAAGGTAATAATTAAATCTCCATAGGGCTAAGAATAGCCACTCTAAAGCAGAATGTTTATCAATCCAAACGAATAGTTCAGCAAGCATAATCATAGAAGAGGTATTTTTGTTGTGTGAGAGAAGAATGCCATTTCTATGTATACTGTCTGCCACCTGCAAATATATGTTAAAGTGATCAAATGTTTGTTAATTAGAATATTTTAATTGATCAAATGTTTATCTTTTAGAGTGTGAACAAGCACAGGGATCACTGGAAAGCACAGCATTTGGACAGCAATGTAACAATGGCAAGTAAAATATATTTTCAGCATACTATCAATTTACATATAAGATTTTTTTTTCTTCTGTTCCAATTGTATCAGATTCTCAGAAGCCACCTAAACAAGTCCATACAGATTTTTTGTCAATGTTTTTTCAGAAGTGCTTTGCCATTCCCTCCTTCCTAGGGCTGAGAGTTCCCCACCTGGCTTTGTGCCTAAGACAAGATTAGAACTCAGTTCCTGGTTTCTAGTCTGATGCCTGCAGTCCTACACACTGAGATTCAAATAGAGTTCAGAAGTTATATTTGGTTCATGTGTAGGCCTTTATATATACATTGACAGCATTCTTCAGCTAAAAATCATGAAACTTTTTCCTCTGGCAGCCTCCTTCCCCTCCCCCTGTTTTGTGGGTGGCTTCTGCTACTGATGATGCCCAGCCAGCCCAGCCCTGGATCTCCTGCGTCAACCCTCCGTTAACTATTTTAAATTAAAAATAAAGGCTGCAGAACTTTGGATAAAGGAAAATATTTGTGGGAGGGGGGGAAAGAACAAACCCGAATCCATTTATGAAATAGGAAACATAACTTGAGTTGTTGTTTTTTTAATTGTTCAGCCCACAACAGATGATGAGGAAGGTTGGAAAAAATTCTGCTTAGGTGAAAAGTTGTATTTAGAATTAACAGATCAAATCTCAAGTGATGAAAGTCCAGGAATTGATTATGTACAGGTGAGTATTAAATCTGTCCTAAATAATTATATCACCTTTAAATAGATATATTTTGATCCAGAGTTTGCATGCATGTTCTGAAATATGTATGAAGATTGTACATATGATCATCCTTAAAATATTTACAATATAATCCCTTATCCAAAAAAATGGGTCTGTCTTGTTGCTGCATATACCTAAAATATTGATTCTATATATTAAATAGAAAATATTCAGAATCCCAGTGATACTAGCAGCACATTTGGTAGGGTTAAACAGGTCTTCTCAATGGCCACACTACCCTAGGAGCCATTTTAGAAAACTATTACTAAGAAGAATAACATTATTGTATTGGAGATTGTATTTTTGGTGGGGTATTTCTCTTTCAAATGAGCTTAATTATGTACTGGTTTTACTTGTGGGGAATATGGTTATGCATATACATTAGAAAAGCAGGCTTTAATGTTTAGATAAATAGATATCAGGAACTGGTTTTGGAAATGTAAACTTCAAGAGAAGCAAATAGTATTTGTTGCATATATTTCTAGAGTTTAATTACATTATGAAAGCCACACAGAAGTTGGCATAAGATGCGCAGCTATGTAAATGTTTTCAATAAATAAAATTTATTTTAACAAAGCTCTAAATGTTGGAAATATCTATACAATCTCTCCTAAAAAATGACAATTGCACACTAGTGTTCAGATCTGAAATTAATTTAAGTATTTAGGTTTCCAACCATTTTTTAAAATCCAACATATTTTTGTTTCTTTTCATTCAGATTGGCTTTCCTCCATTGCTGAGCATTGTTAGCAGAATGAATCAGGTACTTTACTTTTATTGTCGGTTTCATTTCCATTCAGTCTTGGTGTGGTGAATCTACCTTTTTTTCTCTACCTGCCTCCATAGCTTGCTTCAAAAACCTGAACTTGGATAGAGGTAGTCCTTGACTTTCGATCATAATTGAGCCCAAAATTTCTGTTGCTAAGTGAAACAGTTAATTTTGCCTCATTTTATGACTTTTCTTGCTAGAATTATTAAGTGAATCTGACTTTGACTTTATCAGATTGCAAAAGGACACTGCAACCGTCATAAATATGAACCACATGCCAAGCACTTCAATTTTGATCGTGTGACTATGGATATGCTGCAATGGTCATAAGTGTGAAAAAATGTAAATCACTTTTTGTTGTGCTGTTACAACTTTGAATGGCCATTAAATGAATGGTTGTAAGTCCAGGACTATTTGTAATCCCAAATAGAAATGTATTGCTCAAGATCTGAAGAACCCTGAAGATTCTTAGCCGTAAAATAGTGATAAGTATGTTTTAAATATGTTAGATCTAAATTGTTTTGTAATAAGAGGAAAGATTTTTTTAAAAGGCCCATAAAAGATGGAGGGACACAAATAATTTTCTATTTCCCTTTTTGACCTGCTAGGCTGCAGCTAACAAGGCATCAGGAATTTCAGAGAGTTCAGTAAAGTAATATTTGCTTTGTTGATGGCCAAATTTTTATAGCTCTTCTATCATTTATTCAGATATAGACGGATTGTTTTAATTATATGTGTGTGAATTTTCTACACTTACGACAGCTAACAACAAATTAACATTTTACACAATTAAGAATAACCATTTCTTAAGAGATTCTCCAGATGAATTGTGCCTTTAAAAGCTTCTGGAAAATTCCCACTGAATCTATCTGCTGAAGAGAGGCTGTTCTGTAACATAGCTTCTTTGATGGAGAAGCAATGTTTTCCGGCCTCAGGTTTCTCTCAGATCACTTACTAATAATCATAATTATAATAGAAAGTATCCTAATAGGAATCAGTGACATACATAGTTATTTCCCTTTTTATATAAATTTATATGATCCCCTTTCACTTGAAACAAAACAATTTTCCATTTTGCTGTGAACATTAAAAAAATGATTAGGAGAGCCTATAACCCAAAGAATCCAGTAACATACCTTAGAAAAGAGACAGTGTTACAAAAAAAAGATGTAAACAAAAGATTAACAGAAGGGGTGAAAGTTTGATTTCTTTTGTCTGTAATCCTAATGGATCTTTTAATTTGCTTTAATATATAAAAACTATAGTATATATTTTCATTATACTATCTTGCTTACTTTTCAAAATTCTTTTTTGGACAAGCTGTTTCAGCAACTATTTCATAAGATTAAAAAAATTTACTTTTTTGTAGTAATTACTCATATATTGAATTCTTCTAGCATTTGTATAAAATGTCTAATTATAAATCTGTGCAGTGCACTGGGAAAGAACAAACCACCATGCAAAATTGTAACAGCTGTTTTTCTATTCTAAAAGGCAACAGTGACCAGTGTCTTAGAATACTTGACAAACTGGCTGGTGGAAAAAGAATTTACTCCAGAACTGGTAACTTGCAGTTTTATGTTATAAGAGGCATTATCCCCATTGAAATTAAAATTGAAGGAAATTAATTGGTTTATTAATAATTGATTTTAATCTGGAATTGTCAACATGAGTACTTCTCTAGCTTTGAATAAACCTATAAAAAGGATATGTCCCCCTAAAATGAGTGATTTAAATGGGCTCTTAGAATTTTGAATTGCCTTCATTTCTTAGTATCTATATTCCTTTCATATTGATTCAATGTATATCATAGTTGTATAAAAATTTAATTAAAACCTGTAACTTTTAAATTGCATCTCTAAAGCTAAATTTTAAACCTGTTTGTTACAACATTGAAGAGTATTTCAATTTCTATACTGTAGTTAGTTCATGCTGTACACAAGACTCGACAAAGGAATAGCAAGTCAGCACCCACTGTACCCTGAATTGCTTTCTCAGTCCTTCTCATTAAATTTTTTTATTTGAATACAAAATATTATAGTTCTCATGTGAAATCTGTAAAACAATTTACCATTTTCACACAAAGCCTCATAAGCCATTACTGTACAAGGTTTTTAAAATGTGTACTGGCTTTGTGCAGTCATACCCAGGTTCTGAAAAGACTGGTCCTCTTTCATCTATAAGTTCTATTAAATATCTGCATTAATTGATTTTGATCTTTGTGCCTATTTACCTGTGGTCTTATCACCATGCCTTCAAAAACAATCTATTTTCCCTCCAAGTGAAGTTTAGTGGTTTCTTAAAATCTCATTTAAAAAACTTTAATAACAAAACTAAACCTAATTACTGCTTGAAGCAGGGACCACTAGGAAATCCCAAATCTGTATTGAAAATACACTGCTCAAAAAAATAAAGGGAACACTTAAACAACACAATGTAACTCCAAGTCAATCACACTTCTGTGAAATCAAACTGTCCACTTAGGTAGCAACACTGATTGACAATCAATTTCACATGCTGTGCAAATGGAACAGACAACAGGTGGAAAGCATAGGCAATTAGCAAGACATCCCCAATAAAGAAGTGGTTCTGCAGGTGGTGACCACAGACCACTTCTCAGTTCCTATGCTTTCTAGCTGATGGTTTGGTCACTTTTGAATGCTGGCGGTGCTTTCACTCTAGTGGTAGCATGAGATGGAGTCTACAACCCACACAAGTGGCTCAGGTAGTGCAGCTCATCCAGGATGGCACATCAATGCGAGCTGTGGCAAGGAGGTTTGCTGTGTCTGTCAGCGTAGTGTCCAGAGCATGGAGGCCCTACCAGGAGATAGCCTTTGTGCAAAGAGGGACAGGAGGAGCACTGCCAGAGCACTGCAAAATGACCTCCAGCGGGCCACAAATGTGCATGGGGCTGCTCAAACGGTCAGAAACAGACTCCATTAGGGTATTATGAGGGCCCGACGTCCACAGGTGGGGGTTGTGCTTACAGCGCAATACCATGCAGGACATTTGGCATTTGCCAGAGAACACCAAGATTGGCAAATTCACCACTAGCGCCCTGTGCTCTTCACAGATGAAAGCAGGTTCACACTGAGCACGTGGCAGACGTGACAGGGTCTGGAGACGCTGTGGAGAACGTTCTGCTGCCTGCAACATCCTCCAGCATGACCGCTTTGGCAGTGGGTCAGTAATGGTGTGGGGTGGCATTTGTTTAGGCGGCTGCACAGCCCTCCATGTGCTCGCCAGAGGTAGCCTGACTGCCATTAGGTGCTGAGATGAGATCCTCAGACCCCTTGTGAGACCATATGCTGCGGTTGGCCCTGGGTTCCTCCTAATGCAAGACAATGCTAGACCTCATGTGGCTGGAGTGTGTCAGCAGTTCCTGCAAGACGAAGGCATTGATGCTATGGACTGGCCCGCCTGTTCCCCAGACCTGAATCCAATTGAGCAAATCTGGGACATCATGTCTCGCTCCATCCACCAACGCCACGTTGCACCACAGACTGTCCAGGAGTTGGGGGATGCTTTAGTCCAGGTGTGGGAGGAGATCCCTCAGGAGACCATCCGCCACCTCATCAGGAGCATGCCCAGGCGTTGTAGGGAGGTCATACAGGCACGTGGAGGCCACACTACTGAGCCTCATTTTGACTTGTTTTAAGGACATTACATCAAACTTGGATCAGCCTGTAGTGTTTTTTTCCACTTTAATTTTGAGTGTAACTCCAAATCCAGACCTCCATGGGTTGCTAAATTTGATTTCCATTTATAATTTTTGTGTGATTTTGTTTTCAGCACATTCAACTATGTAATTAACAAAGTATTTAATAAGAATATTTCATTCATTCAGATCTAGGATGTCTTATTTTTGTGTTCCCTTTATGTTTTTGAGCAGTGTAGGAAAACAAAAAAGAAAAACAGATGACAAGGTAAATGGTTTGCATTGTTGCCAATAAACTGACATGGATGTGTTCATAGAGATACAAAGAAGCAATGCAAAGATAATTTTATCTTTAAATTCTTATTGCAATTTCTTAACATTTCTCTAGGGCAGATGGCTTTATGCTTTGTTAGCTTGTCTGGAGAAACCATTATTACCAGAGGCTCACTCTCTAATTCGACAACTGGCTAGGAAATGCTCTGAAGTGAGAGTTCTGGAGGTAAGCTGAATTAGTTGATAATTGAAGAGGAATATTAGAAGATCCTGATCATGCTAATAATTTGAAGCCATCATTTCCTTGAAATATGTACATTTTTCATTTGTTAGTTTGATATTTCAGAATGATAGTCAAAACTTGAGAAAAGGACAATACCAGTTATACTAACTGTTCAAAATGTTGACGTTGTTTAGTCTTTGATGAATTTAATGAATATCTAAAAGTGTTTTCTAGAAGTATGTTTAGTAGAGCTATCAATCACAGATAGTTGCCAAAATGCATCGTAATTTGTTGGAAATTTGTCACAGTTGTTGACATAAGACAATTGCTTGAAATTTGGAGAAACAAACTACTTAAATACTTTTCTTCCCTCTAATGCAGGAGAACAAGAATGATGAAAAAGTATCTGCTCTAAACTTGCTGATTTGTTTGGTTGGAAGGTATGGCAAATTAATTTAATTAGTATACTAATTAAAGAAATCAATCTCCACCATTATTCTCAAGTCTGTACCATTACTTACATGAGCATTGCTTTGCAATAATAATTGTAATTTTACCCAACTCTATATTTTGTTTCTTTCCAGAGACTTAAAAAGGAGTAAATCAATTGTTGGATTATGTTATATAATATTACAACATTCATTGGCAATAATATACAGCCATATCATTTCTCTTTCTCTGATTTCACCTGTGCCTTTCTCATGTCTCCTCAGTATTATGTATTGTAAAGAGACGAGTGCTTAAAATTGCATAATAAAATACAATGATGATTGCAGCCTCTTTTATAAGATCTCTCCATGCTGTCCTAGCTTCAAATGCTAGGCCTTGAATCACATGATCTATGATTCCATGCAAAGATCAATTCAGGGTGTCCTGCATTGAAACACACTGAAGAGTAGTTAAAATAGTATAATTCTCATATCAGTATCCAACTAAATGGAAATCGAAACAAGCTATACAGTGAAATACTGCCTTTCTTTCTTACATTTATTCAAGATGTGTCTTCAAGATTATAGTAATATTTGTAATATTCGTGGATTTTTTTCCTCCCACCTAACAGGTATTTTGACCAATATGACCTGGCTGATGAGGCATCCTGATAAACATCTGAAAACTATACATGCACAAGTTGTTAATCTTTCACAGGCAGGCAGTACTTTCAGATCGAAGTATGAAGAATGGATGCACCACATGTTCCAATGTGACCTTAGTGGATACTTGATTTTTTTTAAAGAAAATAAACTGATTTTAGCAAGTAGAGATGTTAATAAAATATTTTCTTACAAACTATTGTCCATAATTCAGCTTGTTTGATCTACATACAAACTATGTGTCTCTCTTTGAGGTACTACACAATGAATCGGTGTCTTATTAAAACCCAGAATTAAAGCAAACTAATCAAAAAGGCTATTTATGTTGAACAATAACATTTTAAAACATTTAAGTGTAAACATGGAGGCTTTAAAATACTGTCTTAATTCAGACAATGAATCCACATTGTTCTCTTGGAAACACCATGGAAATAGTTTGCCACTGCCTTTCTTCAGAATGTTTCTCAACTGTCCAGTCTACCCTAAAGCTCTGGGATTTCTTATTTGTCCCCCCTTCAAGTCTGAACAAGGGTACAAACCTGCTTAACTTCGAAGAACAACAAAATTCACCCAGGTGTTCCCAGCTGCTATGATCCTTCCGTAGATCCAGTCCTGATACCAAGCTGATCTATACAACTTCCTTTGACTAATAGGTTGACAAAATCAAATACTAATTCTGTATGTAGAATTGTGGCAAAGCCTGATCAAAGTGGAGTCCTTGGTATTGTCAGATCTTGGTTGTTGGCTTGCAGATATTTAACTACCCAACTAGATAATATCAGAGAGCACAAGGACTCCATAATTCAATCCTGATCTATAGGTGAAACTCAAAAAATTAGAATATCGTGCAAAAGTTCATTTATTTCAGTAATGCAATTTAAAAGGTGAAACTACTATATGAGATAGACTCATTACATGCAAAGCAAGATAATTCAAGCTGTGATGTGTCATAATTGAGATGATTATTGCTTACAGCTCATGAAAACCCCAAATCCACAACCTCAGAAAATTAGAATATTGTGAAAAGGTTCAATATTCTAGGCTCAAAGTGTCCCATACTAATCAGCTAATTTAGCCATAACACCTGCAAAGGGTTCCTGAGCCTTTAAATGGTCTCTCAGTCTGGTTCAGTAGGAAGCACAATCATGGGAAAGACTGCGGACCTGACAGTTGTGCAGAAAACCATCATTGACACCCTCTATAAGGAGGGAAAACCTCAAAAGGTCATTGCAAAAGAAGTTGGATGTTCCCAAAGTGCTGTATCAAAGCACATTAATAGAAAGTTATGTGGAAGGGAAAAGTGGAAGAAAAAGGTGCACAAGCAGCAGGGACCCCAGCCTGGAGAGGATTGTCAAGAAAAGGCCATTCCAAAGTGTTGGGGACTTTCACAAGGAGTGCACTGAGGCTGGAGTCAGTGCATCAAGAGCCACCACACACAGATGGATCCTGGACATGGGCTTCAAATGTCATATTTCTCGTCAAGCCGCTTCTGACAACATCAGAAGCGTCTTACCTGGGCTAAAGAAAAACAACTGGTCTGTTGTTCAGTGGTCCAAAGTCCTCTTTTCTGATGAGAGCAACTTTTGCATCTCATTTGGAAACCAAGGACCCAGAGTCTGGAGGAAGAATGCACACACTGCAAGATGCTTGAAGTCCAGTGTGGAGTTTCCACAGTCTGTTGATTTGGGGTGCCATGTCATCTTCTGGTGTTGGTCCACTGTGCTTCATTAAGTCCAGGGTCAACACAGCCGTTTACCAGGAGATTTTGGAGCTCTTCATGCTTCCTTCCACAGACGAGCTTTATGGGGATGCTGACTTCATTTTCCAGCAGGACTTGGCACCTGCCCACACTGCCAAAAGCACCAAAATCCGGTTCAATGACTGTGAGATTACTGTGCTTGACTGGCCAGCAAACTCACCTGACCTGAACCCCATAGAGAATCTATGGGGAATTGCCAAGAGAAAGATGAGAGACATGAGACCGAACAATGCAGAAGAGCTGAAGGCCACTATTGAAGCATCCTGGTCTTCCATAACACCGCAGCAGTGCCACAGGCTGATAGCTTCCATGTCATGCCGCATTGAGGCAGTAAGTGCCGGAAAAGGAGCCCAAGTATGTACTCAAGTATTGAGTACATATGCATGCTTATATATTTCAGAGGTCCGATATTGTTCTATGTACAATCCTTGTTTTATTGATTGCATGTAATATTCTAATTTTCTGAGACTGTGGATTTGGGGTTTTTATGAGCTGTAAGCCATAATCATCACAATTATGACAAATCACGGCTTGAACTATCTTGCTTTGCATGTAATGAGTCTATCTCATATATTAGTTTCACCTTTTAAGTTGCATCACTGAAATAAAAACTTTTTCACGATATTCTAATTTTTCAAGTTTCACCTGTATATGTTGATTTAACATTTACTATAGCCATCTTAAATCAAACTCTGAGCTGCTCCCAATCAGTAATTAAAACAATACAACATAATACATTAAACTATAAATATTAAAAATCCAGCAACAAGCTGAAGGTCCCAACATCCATGTTAAATCATCTAATTTACCTCATCCTATCCCACTCATAGGGGGATATCCCCCTTCATACTTTATAGAAGGGTAGAGGCCTACCAGACTTCAAGGTATCTGTGGAGGTTCTCAATAATTCAGGTCAGTTGCCTGAAAGGTGTTTTTTCAAAAGGCAACTGGACTTTGTTCTTTTAAGAAGTTTTGCTTCTCATCCGAAGAAGCTTCTTCAGTTCTGTTTCTTCAATTCTTCAGAACTGAAGCAGCTTGTTGGATGAGAAGCAAAATGTCTTCAAGGAAAAACAGTCCAGTTGCCTTTTGAAAAAGCACCTTTTAGACAAACTTCAAGGAGTTCCACAGAAAAGCCATGCTTTCTAGATGCCATAAGATTGCAATGTTTAAGGGAGTAGGAGTGTCCCACCCTTTCTGATCTGGTAGGATGAGTCCTTTGGAAGAGGAAGTCCCACAGATTACTTAGCCTTGTGCTGTAAGACTTTAAAGGTAATAAGAGATTGGACTGCACCCAGAAGGAAACGGACAGCCAATGAAGGTCACACAATGTTATGTGAGTAAACCTAGGAGCTCCCATCACCACATGCACCATCACATTCTGGACCAGTTGTAACTTCCAAGTCTTCAAGGGCAGTCCCATGTAGAGCATACTGCAATAATCCAAACAGCTGGTAACCAAGGGTTGAGTAATTGAGCAAATTTCCTTCCAGTCCAGGAAAGGATGCTCCAGAATCATCTGTACATAGGATCTCCTAGCCATGCCTGCCACCTGTTCTTTGAGCATGAATCTGCAAATTGCACACCAACTATTGCAATAACCTTTTTCATAAGATTGGAAACAGATAAGAATGAACAATAAATAAGCCTCTGTTGCTAACATGCTAGATTCTGACTATTACGTCTGGCAAATCCTTAACTAGTCCACATCAATGACTGCATCTTTCTGAGAGATGTATTTAGTTATGAGCAAAAGGTTACTTCTTGAATATAAGGTGTTCGATCATTCTGTCTTCTTGTTATTGTATCCATGTACTATCAATTTCAGTTTGATGAGCAGGGTTTCTAAATACAACTCGGGTATACTCATTGGCAGTTTTGATGTTACCCTGCTGCTACTTCACTGTTTTTAATTCCAATATGTCAAAACCATTAATTTGAAGTTCTTATTTGAAGTGTCAACCTTACAAAGAAAATCCAGTAAATCAAAATGTAAACTCTAGCAATGCATGAGACTTATCTGTATTACTTCAATAACTAGCAGACAACACCTTATATACACCCATTAAATATGATTTGGAACAATAACTACCTAGTTCAAGCTTAATTGTTAGATTAACATTGTTTATGTAATTTTGAAACTTTCAGCTAGATAAGCAAATGCAGCATTTTAAAAACTATGCAAGATCACTTGAAGCAATTTTATTGTGTATGGAATATATCTAAACTCTTTCTGGAAGTGAAAAGCAGGAGTACCATTCTCAGCTCTATGGCCCTTACCCATTTCAATACTGCAAAATTGAAATTATATAAGATTTGGCTATATTTGGCTTAGCATTTATTTAGGATATTTTATTCATCCTTACAAACATGAAACATTCATATTCATGGCCACAAATTGTAGATAATTAAAAATCTACCAGCAAATTATGAAAAATTGCACTTAATCACTTCTGGAAAAAATGTATTTGACAAATAATACAATAAAAAATAGCTTCATGTGCTTTATAAATAAAATACAGTTCATTTTGCCATTTTACAGAGCAACAGAATGAATTTTATATTTACATCTTCTGTATCATCACCTGAAATTTACCTGAAAACAAAAAAACATGTTAAGGAATATTTGTTTTATCAGAAACAACCTTATGTACTTCTATAAATTCTATTAATATTCAGGTTCATTTCAATTTATATTTTACAATGCAGTCTGTTCACTGCCTTGATGAGTAGAACTTATCTGGAGTCAAGTATGAGACTACAATCTGTTTCCTTCTCAACTGATTACTTTCACATTCTAAAAATCTCATTATTTCCTATCTAAATTTGAACATAATTCAGCACTCTCTATTTTCATACAGTTGTCAAACAGAGAAACTACCATAATTGTGGAAGCTAGTAGAGAACTAGTAGGTAGCTCTGATTCCTGGTGCTACAAATATACTATATGCAGCTTTGTACCACATGTAGAGAAAAACTCTCTCCAGACATTTGGAAAAGATTTGTGAATTGAAACAGGTATCTTGTTCAACTTGACAATTTTAGCTGAACATTACTGCCAATAACTACTGTTACCTTATGCATCTTAGGCATCTCATTAATTTTACATTAAGGTACAGTACACTTTTCGGTTCTAGTATCTGAATTTTCAAAGCAATTGTTTTGTAATTTCACTTATTTTCTCTTACAATTACACAGGAGAACAGATTTATCTCATTTTGCTAATACAGCACATACTTACATGCAGGCATTGTTGAAACTTCAGCTGTTACAATACTCTTTATTCCCAAATTTGATAAAGCACCTCTAATTAGTCCACATGTAAATGCCAAATACTGCAAGATATATCAAGGCAGAATATTCATGGTAAAACTCTAATCTCAAAATACAGTTAAAACTTATACTTATTTTTGTAGCCTGGAAAGAGAGAAGCATCAAATTTCAAACAATTAATGATTCAATAAGGTAAAAGTTGGACAGACGCACTTTTAATTATATTTGCTTCTGTTTCAGACTTCATTTAAAAATATTTATCATTATTCCCAGAAGGATAATAAAGTACAGCATAATAGGGCTATAATAGTAAAGGGATGGAGGGAATGTATTGAGAATGGAAAGGTTTGGGACTTGATCCATTTCTGAAACATAATTTTTTATCTTTCTGCCCAAGTTCCAATGGAAGTTATACCATATTATTGCACACCTTAAAGGTTATCAGAATAGGAAAAACAATAGCCAGGGTATGTAGGAGATTGGAATCAGCATACCCATTTTGAATGGCAAGGGCCATTTGGCTCTTTTTCCAACAACAAAATAAGGTCTTTTAACTGTTACATTTTTTATACATGTTTCCCATCCAATATTTATCTTCCAAATTTCACACAACAGTCTCACAAATTAAAAATAACAGTATGGTGGTTATATTGTTCAAAGGTAAAAATAACATTTTAACCCACGTAGAATTATTGGACTGCATATGCTAGCACAATATCCTATGCCCTTCCCAAATTTGTCCCTATGCCTCGCTTTTAGATTTTGCAATACTCAATAGCAAAGACTGGAGATATTTCTACTCACATTCCATTGAATCAAAACAGAACTCTCCCTCAATTGGATGTGAAGAAGAAAAGATTGGCAGGCACTACACAGTTCCTCATTTTACCAGGCTTTAGCTCCTCATATATTCAGACAAATCAACACAGTATGCATATAAGGCCTAAAACACAGGTTGTATATGATGTATATTATGCCTAATATACATAATATGTTACCTGTGCACATAAGAGAAAGAGAAGAAGCAGGAAACCACAATTTCATCTTCCTCCCGACATATGTATGGAGACACAGAGCCAGAGGGCTTAATAACAATCTATTAAGAACTGACATTTTAAAGCTACTTTGACTATAATACAATACCCATACCTTAGGGGCATGTTCCAAATATTGCTTTCCTGCAGACATTTGAGTCAATAGACGAAATTTGTTATCCTGAAGTACATAGATACCCTGCAGAAATGAACATTTTCCACTTTAAATTTTTTAATATATTTATATCCTGCTATTCATTTTAATGTTACATTCAAACATTTCTTAGAAAGCTCTGATCCACATATCAATATAATTAGTTAAGATTGCCAGTATGTAGCCAAATTAAGAGTTTGTACATTTTTCATTAGGGATGCATTTGCAATTTTGCTACTATAACAATGGTCCTTTTATCCTCAATCAACTTAGAAGTTTTCAACCTTTAAAAATTAATCCGTCAGTGCCTAGTTTTCAGAGTTTTTAAGTCCAACTGGGCTCATGTTCCAAAAAATATGAGAGAATCAAGTCAGTGTTTAAAGAAAGAGACTTTTTAAAAAACTTTTAAAAGGTTTCAGATTAGTAGAAAATAACCAAAGGTTAGAGAAGTAGGGATTTTTAAAAAGGTAACAAAGGGGTAGAAAGGTGACTAGTAATCAAACATGACCTAAGAAATTTGATAGGAAATAAAAGATGCATTTGAAAAGCAGAATATAAACATTGTACTAGTGTACACAGGCAAACTGAGATCTAGATATGCCAAATGAAGTAGTAATTTGCATTTATGATTTTATTATGACAAGAAAGACAAAAAGAAACTCTCTTATTACTTAAAATCTTCAAATCAATGTTTCATGAGAAGGGGATTGTTAGCTGATTCAAACATTTAGTAGTATGTTAGCAAGTGATTTACTATGCATCTATATGTATTTAGCAGAATTGGGATACATCCTAGATTCACAGAAATGTAGACATTTCTTTTGAGCGTAGAAGAAATGTCAACAGAAGTCAGTGGATTATGCTGTATAATGTATCATTAACTTATTATAATGATTAAACTGGCCATAGTAAACTTCATATTAGCAGATTAATTTTTATATTCAACAATTATCACTATAAATTTTTATTAATGTTTTTAAGATTACAATGAAAGTGTAGGAAAATATTATCCAAGACTATAAATACTGCTGACGCTCATCAAGGAGAAAAATAACTGCATTGCTGTAAAAATAAACGTGACTCCTATAACATCCATTTACCTATGCGCTGAATTGAAATGTCTGAAAAGGAACAGAATAGCGCAGCAATTGAATATAGTTTGACTCCTTGTTCTACAAGTCATTATTCATTCTTACAATACCTGATGATTAGTCCTGAGATTATCAATTTGTTTTTTGAATACAGTAGTCCAAAAATCTTTGCAAATAAACTTCATTATATCTAATTCATCTTTGAATCGGGCAGTATCTTTTGTGAACCTAAAGGAAAGGAACCCAAATAGCAACAGCACTTAATCATCTTCATATAGGGTAGTACAAACAATAATTTCCTTGACATTAATTATAAAATATAACAACTTATGTATTTTATAATGATAAAAACACCAATCCAAATCACACTCTTCCTAACTGGCAATATAAGATCTAGCTTTAGTATTTTACTCTGGTCCTTTAAGAAGGCCATGGCCAATGGCCATACTTAATTTTAGAAGCTCACAGGACTATAAACTGGATAATGTCAACAAGAACCCCAAAAGTTTATTCTTAGTGTAATATGCCTATTTTAGGCATTGCACTACAGTTTCAGCTATTTACCATTCCAAATAGATAAAAACAGTTACATTTTTAGCCAAGGTGGTCCAAGGACTATAAAAATGGGATTGGGGAAATAACATTTGACCCTGGCACCACAGATTACACAACTCCATGGTAAAAAAATAAAAGTAGTCAAAAGAGAAAATAAACACTGCACTCACCTTTCTATTAATCCTTGTCCTACTCTAAATCCCATGTTTTCCAATTTTGTAATACAACGTCCATTTTCCTATAATTACAAAAAGAGAACCTTGCAGTCATAAATAATCTATTTTAAAATGGTTTTAAACGCTTCTACTTATTCTCTCAACTATTTTAAAGTAGAATCAAAATGAAAGCAATTGTGACATTTGTCATGTAAGAGCAATACATCTGAGATAAACATTGCACCTGTTATCCTTTTACAGTATTGTGCTAATAAGAGACAATTGTTAGTGTTTGTAGCAAAAACACAATCATGGGGGATCAGAAAGGCTGGTACTGTCAAAATTGCAGGGGTGGGCGGGTGTACCCAAAGCCACTTCACTGGATATCAAGATAAATTCCACTAGCAAAAGAAACAAGACTGTGTCAGCTTTCATAAAAAGTCAAGTCTGTTGGGCTTTGCCTCTTCTGTAGTCATCCAACAGGACTGGCAGGAATAGGGATTTACAACTCCTCCAAATGTGAAGTTTTTGTCATTCATTCAAGTGACAAAATCTACTCTATCCCCCCCCAAAAGAGCAGGCATTATGCATTATAAGAAGGGAACTTCAGAAATAAGTACACATAGTCCTCAGCTTGTAACAAATCATTTAGTGACCTCTTGAAATTACAACAGCACTGAAAAAAGGAATTTATGACCGGTTCTCACACTTGTGACAATTGCAGCATCCCTATGGTCACGTGATCAAAATGCAGACACTTGGCAACTGACTCCTAGTTATGACAGCTGCAATGTACTGAGGGATCATGTGATCAACTTTTGTGACCTTCTGACAAGTAACTTAACCACCGGTGTTAAGTTACTAACTGCAGTAGTTCACTTAACAAGGGTGGTGAGAAAGGGTGTACAATGGGGCAAAACTCACTTAACTGTCTTGCTTAGCAACAGGAATTTTGGGCTCAATTGCAGTCACAAGTCAAGGACTTATCTGTAAAAGTAAATCCATACATTTACCAATAGAAAAATAAGGTTGGACATTAATTTTTAAAAAATGAACCAGACCATTTCTTTGGGTAGAATAAGACTATGACAACAAACCATGTTCTGTTCCCTTCAAATCATCCCTCCCACTAGTATTCCGGGTTACCCAGAACCTCCACAGCCGACGACGGGAAGGGAAACGTATGAATCCAGCGGTGCCCACCCTCCTGTTCGGATTTCTCCCGAAAAACCGCCGGGTTCGCCGTCTAAGTTATCTGTTCAGCCCCTGAAACCTGACAGAAACTGCGGGCAGGCCCCCCGCCGCACGACCCCCAAAGAGGCGCCCCGCTTGCTCAGCCTAAAGAGCTGTTTGGAAGTTGGAAGCAGCCCTGGGCTCTTCAGGAGGAGGAGCAGCTGGTCTCAAACCGGAATCCCGAAGGGCTCCCTTCTATTTTTCCTACCCGCGAGAAGAAACTTCACACTCACCCCATCGCCTTGCTCGGCGGCGCGGTAAAGCCCGGACACCATTTCGTTGTGCAACAAGAGAAAGAGAGCTTCGTCCGCCATCTCCGACTTATTCATGCCGAGCTCTTCTCCCGCCTAGAGAAGAGACGACCCAGCCCCAGCCCACCCTGATGCAAACCGAGCCCCCGGCCGCTCCGTTGAGAGCCGAGGCCGCGTAACAAGGCAACCGGCGTCAGAGAGTTGGGGCGGAGTTTCCGGAAGCTCAGGCCTCGGTTTAGTGACCGCACCCGGCGGATACTGAGAGTAGGGCGCTCTTCTAACAAACGCGGTAGTAGGCAAGGGGGGGGATATTAAAATATTTTCGGAACAGGTGCTGGGTTCGTTCGTTCGTTTCGGAATAATGGGTGATTTTCTTGCGGGGGAAAAAAAGTAACCGGAATATGTTTGTTATGGAGTGGTGGGTCAGTGCTTAGTTATGGTTAGCAGCTCAAGGTTGACTCAAGCTTTCCGTCCTTCCGAGGTGGGTAAAAAAAGAGGACCCCTATTTCGGCAGATTCTCAGTCATCCAAGCCATGGTCGTTCCAAAGGTGTTTTTTTTTCAAGCGGCAATTGGACTTTCTGGAGTTTCAACCAAATCCAGTTGCCTCTTGAAAAAAGCACCTTTTGGGAGGGCCCAGATTGCTTGGGGGCAGTAGGTTTAGAGAGGGCTGTAAAGCACCGTGAAGGGATGTGCATAAGCGCACCGTCCCTGTCCTATTGTTTCTTTTATATATATATTTATTTTTCTTATATATATCCATGTATTCATAACTATGTTTTTACTTACACCTATTATCTTGTAAGCAATTGACAAATTAAAAATAAATAAATAAGCTATTGCTACCAGGAGTTATAGTTCCTCTTCGGGCACAAAGGCGGCTGCATGATCTTGGGCCAGTCAATCTCAGCTATAGGGGGAAAAGGGCCAAGGGAAAACCACTTCCAAAATCTTTCCAAGAAAACCAAAGGAAGCTCGTCGCCTGGAATCGAGACTTGACTTGAAAGCAGCCAAAACCAAAGTATTTTAGATCTCTCTGCTGCCAGAATCAAAACGGCAACTCGCATAGAAAATAAAATTAAATGTAGCACACACATAAACATAATACTGTAAAACATAAACAACACGAAGTCCTTGACATTTAATTAATGCATTTATGTCTAATACATTCATAAAAACGCGTTTAAATTGGGGTGCTATGCTTTGAAATTCAAATCACGAACGTGGGAATCGCCGCCCCCTCAAGCTTTACCGAAAGCCAGAGAAGCGCGCGAATTTTAGTAGGGAACATCCTAGCTTGGAGAAGGAAGCATTAACCCTTCCGCCAATCATCGATTGGTTGTTCTGAGAGGGGATTATCACCTGATTGGTTGTAAAGATGTCATTCTACTCGGGCATTTTAGCTATTGGCAGGATTACAGAAGCAGAGCGGTTGCGAGAAACGTTGCGTCCTTAATGTCAGTTCTTCATTGGTGAAGAACTTGCTCGTCCATTGGAAGCAATGCCCTGCCACTCATACTCATAGGTTGGCCATTCGCTAGAGGTTACGAATAGCTCTTGGGTAAAAAAGGTATCACTCCAAACGTCGAGTTCTCATTGGTGAGTTTCACGGAGCCACGTTACGACGTGAAGCTGGGCTATCTCCTTGCCCCCTTAACCTCATCGTGCTTTCCGTCAGGTTCCGGCTGGTTAGGCCGCAGTTGTGGTGGCAGGCATGGCGGTAGCTGTGCGGGCTCTACAGGAGCAGCTGGAGAAGGCCAAGGAAAGCCTCAAGCACGTCGATGAGAATATCCGGAAACTGACGGGGCGGGACCCCAACGATGTGCGGTAAGACCCAAGCGGAGAAAGAAGAGTCGGGGCTTGGAGGAGGCTTTCGTACTTGAAGGGCTGCTTTTGCGGTTGGCTTCTCACCGCGAGGCCTTCTTAGCGCCTTCCCTTCGAAAACCAATCCGGGCTATCGGTAGCCTCGCAGTTGCTCCCGTTACGGATCTAAGCAGGCCCACGGTGAGCGTCCTCGCCGATCTTTTTCTTTTTCCCGCGCCCGGATGGGAATGCCCAGAGGGCTATTAAAAGAGGAGCGGAGGCCACGCGGAAGGACGGGGGGAAATTTTGCCTAAAGAGGGCTGCCTGGGGGTGCGTCAGCTGAGGGTGCCGGCATGAGCAGGGAAACGCTGCAGCGCTCTGCAAACACGAGGCCCCTAGCGTTGCTCCCGACAGGCGGGTGCTTCCTTCCGCCTCCCGGCGATTAGCGTTTCATTGTGTGTCTCCTCCTTTCCAGGCCGGCTCAAGGGAGACTGTTGGCCATCGCAGGCCCTGGTGGAGGTAGGGGGCGCGGAAGCCTATTACTGAGGTGAGTTGGAGGAGGACCTGCGAGAGGAACGAACTGTTTTAATATCGCCGCAACTCTTTTGCAGTGTGGAAACTCAGCTTCCGTTTTAACTAGTTGATGCCAAACACCGGTGTCTGTTTAAGGCTAGTCAAACTTCAGTCTGACTTAGCACTTTTAAACAAGCACCAACTATGTGTTTATGATAGTGGTAACTGGGTGGCAAGCAGCCCCACTGTAAAGTCACCACTGTGTTACTGTTTGGGATGCTCATCCTTTGTTCACATTCTCTCTAAAAAGGCTTCTTTCTTTATTCATGAATTGATATGGATAGATTGAATGGTAAATATGCTGGATATAAGAATATATGATAAAGGTAGGTAGGCAGGTAGGTAGAAAGAAAAAGAAAGAAAGAAAGAGAAAGAAAGAAAAGAATTCTTTATTGGCCAAGTGATTGGATACACAAGGAATTTGTCTTGGTGCAAATGCTCAGTATACATAAAAGAAAAGATATATTTGTCAAGAGTCAAGAATCCTAAGGTACAACACTTAATAATAGTCATAGGGTACAATAAGCAATCAAATCATACTAGGAAACAGTCAATATAGATCATAAGGATACAAGCGACAAAGTGACGGTCATACAGTCACAAGTGAGAGGAGATGGGTGATAAGGAGTGATGAGAAGATTTATAATAACAGTAATGCAGATTTTGTACATAGTTGGACAGTGTTGAGGGAATTAATTGTTTAGCAGAGTAATGGTGTTCGGGGGGGAAAGCTTTCCTTGTGTCTAGTTGTTCTGGTGTGCAGTGCTCTATAGCATCATTTTGAGGGTAGGAGTTGAAACAGTTTATGTCCAGGATGTGAGGGGGTCCGTAAATATTTTCACAGCCCTCTTTTTGACTAGTGTAGTATACAGTTAAAAGTAAAGAGACTGATATAAAGTAATTTATGAGAATACAAAGAAGAAAATTTGGTAATAGATAATGATGTGATGTTAGAAAGCTGTATTTGTGATTGTGGGTATGATGGATTTAAAATGTAAAACACCCGGAACCACACTTTTCTCTCAAAGATGTATTCAAATAATAATAAAATAATAAAAATAATAAAATAAAAACAATAAAAGGCTTATTTATTGTAGGTGGGGGGGGGAGCAATAATTGACTGCACTTTGGATAAGCATACTGGAATTATACAAGGCTGTTTGCAGAAAATCCAGCACAGAAGTGACTTGAGCTGATCTGTAGGTTTCTATTATAATTCTGGAGTAGACAAGCAAACAAAAAGGGTGATCATTGTTTGTAAGCTGCCTAGAGTTGCTGTGAGCAAATAGCGGCTATATAAATTTTCTTTAAAAATCAGAGAAATGCAAATGTATTGTGTTGCTGTAGTCCAGTGATCCCCAACCTTTTTGACGCCGCGGCCCGGTACTGGCATCAGCTGGGCGCCGCGGCCCGGTACCGGCATCAGCTGGGCGCCACCATCTTTTTTTGATGAAAACGTGCTTCCGGTGAGCTTTCTACCTGGAAAAGCTCACCGGAAGCACTTTTTCATGAAAAAAAGATGGCGGTGCCCAGCAAGCCGCGGCCCGGTAGGAGTTGCTCCGCGGACCAGTGCCGGTCCGCGGACCGGTGGTTGGGGACCCCTGCTGTAGTCTACTGCCATGATGCCACAATAGGAATAGTATCAGGAGCTTTAGAACCCTGATGCTTTAGTAAATGTGTGTCTGTGTGTGTGGTTACTACTCTATAATTATAAAACCTTTATTCATTTTACATAGAAAAATGTTTCTTGGATTGTCTTGCTTAACAATACTAATAGCTTCACTTATTGCATTTCAGTTTTACCTTTCATGAAGAAATTAACAGTTGGCTATTTCTAAATACAGTGTACCACTTCATAGAGCATTATATGTTTCTGAATGTATGCATTTGTTTAGATAAACCTAATTTGTTGTTTTATGTTAGGCGTGGATTCTCGGATAGCGGAGGAGGACCCCCAGCCAAACAGAGGGATCTAGAAGGGTCGACGAATAGGTAAGCAGAGAATACTTACACCTAGATTAAAGAAGCAAATTATTTTTATATCTTACCATATTCAGTGTATCTGCTATATTTTGGATAATTTACTGCCAAGATGCATAGACTCTGTAATGTAGAATATGTCCCAGTGTTTAGTTTTCATACAGTGTTTAGCTTGTTTTGGCAGGTTTGCACATCACATTAAGCTAGCCAGGTATCAGTATTAAATTTATATCCTGCCCAACTCCTAGCAATTCTGGGCAGTTTGAAAATATATATATATTCAAACCTTTCAGATGAGAACAAAGAAAAGGGGGCTTTGTCACACATGCCTTATGCCTGGACAAAGAGCCAGGTCTTTAGAGATCTTTGAAACACTAGGAAGAGTGGGGGCTGTCTGAATCTTGGAGGACACCTCATTCCAGAGGGCAGGCACTGCTGTAGAGCAGGTGTGCTACCTGAGTCCCAGCATATAGCATGGTTTAATAGAAGGAAGGTGGAGCACCCCATTCTGCCAGATCAGTTCAGCTGAGCAGATATTATGGGAAACAGGTGATTCCTCAAGTATTACACAAGCCTTACACCAGGTATGGCTTTATAGGTAATGACCAGCATTTTGAATCACACCTGCAAATAAACATAATCAGTGCAGCTCATGAAGCAGAGTTATTATTTGGTTGTATCAGGTCTTTCTTGATATTAGAGGTAATCCTTGACTTACAACCACTATATCATCAATTTTTCAATCATTTTATGGTGATTATTAAGCAAATCACAATGGTTTAAAGAAACCCATTCTCCCTAATGGACATTTTTTGCTAGAAAACAAAACTGCAAATATTGCAACCAATGGTAAA